CTGTGTTTATTTTTCTAGATTCGAACTTAAATTTTGTAACCTGAGCAGGTCTTTCATATACCAAATGCAAAATAGTGAATAGACAAACTTTTAAATTGTAATTATTCTTAAATATTTCTTTTCGATTAATATATTTATGTGTGTATGTATATATAAGTTTTCATATACAGCCAAATAAGTCTCATAATGTCCGTTAATTTCTTTGTTATCAAAAACAAGTAATGGGTGTAAATGTAATCATGCCCCGAAGCTTCCTTTAGTTAAGAACCTGTACAAAGGGTAATTTGTAAACCGCAGATGAACAAATCTCTTACGGAAGTATGTTTCACTGCTCCAAATGGGTTTTTAAACGATGCAGACGGATATTAGCAATTTCCACTTTATACGTCTCTTACGATAAACAGTCATAAACAGTTCCAAAGAAATCCCATAGCTGCGAAGAAAACATCCGTCAAAAGCAATGAATGGAAGTCATTAACTTAATGGATGCAAAATAAACCTAATTTCTCTTTCTCGATGTTATAAAAACATTCGAAGTGTTTAATATGATAGACCAATTCGATAGAAACTGAACATTAAAATTGCCAACGAAAAAATACAAAAAGGAATAATAAATTACAAGTACAATTAATTAATAATACAAAGTGTGTGTCAATGGAATTCGATACGAACAAATGATTTAGAGAGAATACAAATGAATTTTAAAAATGAAAAATGACTGCTTTGTAAGAGGAGGTAAAAGCTGAAAACGGCAAAAGGATCGCAAAATGTTAAAAGACAGATAAAAATCAGATTAAAATTAATGACTAAAGCAATGGACAGAAATAGTTAAGTGCGAATACAAATAAAAGTGAATATATATATGAGATCAATGAAAGTTTACCAAATAAAAAAAAAGTTTAAAAGTTGTAAACATCATTAAAACAAAGATAATGAATGTATTAAATTGAAATTTGAGTTCTAGTTATAAAAGGAATAAAAAAAACTAGAACATTGGTAAATCAATCAAAAAACAAATAAATCTTAACAATTCATCCCAAGTTTATAGATGCATTCATTATATATATCTACTATGTATTCTTTCACAATCCTCGTGCAATTTATCCCCCGTCTAATATTAGACCAACCATATCCAATTCATGGTCTGCGGAAAGCATGCCGCCTTCCAAGCTATTAATCGTTTCTTATCGTATAGCTGAATAATGCACGAAAGTGTGAGAAAAAAATTAAAAGTATTCTACGAGAAAGTAATCTTTGAGAAATGGTCTAACGTAAAACAAATATGCTTTCTTTTTAACGTAAAAATTAAGGGATACGTGTTTTAATGTATTTTGTAAATGTTAGACTGAGAGTATCAGAAGGATATGATTTTTAGAAGGGTATTCTAGAAATGTAGAGAGACGGTATTTTTAATGTTTTATGGCTTAATATTCAGGTCAGTTCGATACATAAAATTAATATAAAACGTACGACTTGAAGAAAATATTTTCCTGAAAATAGAGCTTTCTGAAAAATTTCCTTTATGCGATAAGGAAGATAAATATAAATATATATTAAAGCGTATACAAATAAACGAAGGAAATATGACAAGATAGAATAACAGCTGTTCCAAACAGAATAATAACAATAAAAGTATTGAAGAATGGCAGCTTTGGGTTGAAAATATCTGTTTTAAAAGCGCTAATTAAAACTTATCCTCAATATTAAAAAGAATAAATCGGCAGAAGATTATTTTCTAGAACAATCTACTGCTAGAAAAATATATTTAAAAAATTTTTTGCATTACATTTTTCTCAGTACAGCTGAGAACCTATGAAAAAATTACAAATTTAAGCTGATAACATTGAATTACATTACATTGAAGTAAAAGAAAAACGAAACCGCCCGAACAGGGACTCGAACCCTGGACCGTTAGGTTAAAAGCCTAACGCTCTACCGACTGAGCTATCCGGGCTCCTCATGCTTCGCCTCAAAGCCATTCCTTAAATGAGTATTTGCCTGTACATGACACTTTTTGTCAATCTAATGCACGCTTATTTCTTGATCCGATGAGAATAGGCAAGCTGAGTATTGTGAGATCTTATCTTGTAATGACTTTATCAAATTTCTTATCAAAGGGATACATTCACCAAGATAACAAACAAATCGAGCCATAAGTAAACAATTTATATTGCCGCAATATTTTGACGTTTTTCAAAGGGAATAAAATTATTTTTAAAAAATGGGCTTAATTGAGGCTTCTTTATCTGCAAATATAAAGTTGACTTTTTGCTAATGTTAGTTATAAGATTTTCTACCATTATTGAAATTCGTAAGGAAAATTACTGAGCCATGTATTATGTAACGAAATTATAGGCTTTCCATTTTCTTGCCTGTGCGATACCATTCGTATTAAAGTAAAAACATTACATTAATTCTAAAATTACGAAGCTGTAACCACAAGCTTATATGTTTACTTTTCAAACTTTAATAAAGCGGTAAAGAATTTATTTATTTGATGATTATATTCGATGCTATTTCCTCCCTTAATCTGTGTGATAGTCAGCTGATTTTTATTTCGGTATAAGGTCTAGTGATCTAGTGATAGTCAACGGATGTTTATTTTGGTATAAGATCGGTTTCTAGATATGAAGATATAAGAAACCTGTCAAACGATAACCTTACTACGGACCAAAAATTTAAGCATCATCTCACTACTTTTAATAGCTCAACTTGATACCAATCAATTCTAGCTTTCAGTATTACGTCTACTTCAAATTTAGAAGGGTTTAGAATATTTATTCCATTGTTTTAGTAACAGAGATCATTACTAATTTTACTAATTTGGAATATTAGTCAAAATGCTCCAGAAATGGTTGCAACTAATATTCATAGATGGAAACAATAATTAGTAATAATAATCCAAGTCGATAAGGTAACTATTAACATGATATTCAAATTTTATGTGAATTTACTCGAATTTCGGTTTGCTGTTGATTCGATTGCGGCGGTGCTTTGTGCTCTATTTATAAATCGCAGAATTCGTCTCATGTGTTACTTCAAAGATTTTAGTGCATGTTAAAATATATTTCTGAATAGGAGCTTGGGTTTTAAATAAAATTATTGGAATTTTTATATCAGTTAAATTTAATTTCTTAAGATTTGGAATCTTAACACTTCATTAGAATTATATTATTACTTCACATCCATCCTTTTTCAGACTAAAATTATATCAGTTTTTAATATCTTTCAGGTGCAGAAAAAAAGAAACAGTAGTTTTAAAAAAAATTCTGTATTTCTGCTATTTAATATTCGAAGTAGAATCTAAGCTTGAGTTTAAAATGCAAATCAGAAAAAGTCTTTTTTACTCTTTTTGTAAAAATTTAAAATTTCATGCTTTCTTACATAATAGAACAATCCTTGCAATTGGCAACAGGCAACCTTATTAGTCCAAAGGGGCTTTGTCCCTGAAGGACTATTGTTTTCGTTTTGAGATTTTGAGTTGAATCACTATAAATGTCCGTTTCACTTTTCAAACTGTTGCCACCAAATGTTAGAATCCTGCATTATATTTGAAAAAATTGAATAATGAAAAATCTGCATAAATGTATGTATATTTCTCATCTTGTCGTAAAACAACGGTACATAGAACCATCCAATTTCGAATGACGTAATCCTTCTACGAATATGGGCATGTGGAAGACCAAATTTGGAATTTGTTTTTTTATCGATTTCATATTTTCTAAAACTTTAAAGAATTTTTGAGTAATAAACTCAACGATTTAAAAGCCAGCAATGGCAATACTCTACGGGTAAAAAAAAAAAAAAAAAATTATCCCCAGCGCCGTCGAACTGTGTATCGGAAATTCTAAAGATAGGCTCATTTTAAAATTATTTTGCGACATTGCTATTGAACTAAATTTTATGGTTTAAGTTCAAAGAACATGATATTTAATTGTAATATTATTAAATTTAATATTATTTTATTATTTATTGATTTAGAGGTAACACACAAAACGTTAAAAAAAAAAAAAAAGGCCCCTTTAGATGCAATTTAAAATCTGAAACATTACAGATTTTTTTTTTTTTTTTTTTTGAAATTATTCTTAAGCTGCTCCTGCAAATAGAAGTTGTTTATTGAAAACTGAAGAAATGGACCAATTATGTGGCCAAACGCTACCGTTTCAAATTTTCTATTCCATATCTGCCAATGTACCCACACACGCACTATTCCATAAATTCTTCTTCTTCTATAAATTCTTCTATAAATTCTATAAATTCTATAAATATTCTATAAATTCCCCAAATATTTGCCAACTATTTCCCGTTTATGATGACTCATACAAAAATTTACTTCAGATATTATAAAATTGTAAAGCCGAAACTTTATCGCCCCCTTTCCAAACGGATATAGCTTGCAAAGCTCCTTTTTCACTTGGATTAGGATACCTGTAGTCTAGATTTTTTATTATCAGCTTCTGGGGATTCATTATAATTTATCTAAAAGTTAATTTTTATTTTAAAGCAACTTACCTGTGAATCTCGTTTTCAATCCACGTTTTCTTACCAGAGTGTTAACAAGATTTAGACATATTTATTTCAAGCTAGCAGAAGTACCCGATGCCAGTCAAGTTAGATTGAGAGTAATGCATCTGACAACATATAGAACGATACCACTGTAATCCTTCTCTAATAACGATGCAAGAAATACGATTCACAGTCATACATTTTTCAGTCTGATGCGATATGAAACCCACATAAAAAATTTCGATAGAAAAATAAGCTAATTCTCTCTCATTATATCAGCAACAATGGCATGCAGTTTTTAACGATTTTCGTCTTTCTAATCAAATGGTCGTAAAAAACTCGATCCAATATTTCACCTATATTCAATTTTAGTCGATTAAATATGGCAAAAAATTTATCTTAATTGCTCAGAAATCAGTAATGCGAACAAACAAACAAACAGGCATTCTTCTTTATATATATATATAGAGAGAGAGAGATTTTGTAAAACTTACGAATTTTTGATTAACAAGATCTACGATTTGAAAGCGAGCAGTAACAACACTTTTCGAAATAAAGCATTTTTATCTCTAACGAGCGAGACTGTTGCCAATCGGAAAATGAGTGCGAAAGTTAGTACTTTCAGAGTTTTTAATTACTATTTCGGCTGATTAAAGTCGTACGAAGATGGGAATAGTCGAAATGGCTTCCTACGAATTTTTGGAATCGGGAATAATATATTTTATGTTTGGCAATGCTATTTTTATTTCATCGTAAAACTAAGAAATTTTTTATTAACAAAGGATTTGGAAGCGTGCAGTGGCAACAACTTTTGAAATAAAGCAGATTTTAATCTCCACCATGCGAGACTGTTGCCACTTGGAAAAATGAAGGCGAAAATTATCATTTTTCCGAGTTTTTAATTAACATCTCTGATTTTAGTTTTTTTTTTGGGGGGGGGGAAGTGGATATTGATCTTTTTCATGACCCAGAAAACAACAAAGAAAGTTGGTGAAGATAGCTATAGCAGTATCTGAGTTATTAGCTAACAAACACACAGACTTTCGTCTTTATATACATAGATAATTATATGTTGAATTTTTACTACTACATAACTTATTTTATTTTTAACCCTAATCGGAAATTTCAGCTCTTTAATACCAGTCCCGCACATAAGCTCTATAAAAGTATAAGCATCGTATTTGCAACTAACACATAATTAAAACGTATTCGCAGGCCGCATTAAAATTGCTTCGGGACCGCGAGTTTGAGAACCACTGGTTTAACTCATATTGATACTGGAAGGAGGAAATGTTTTCGTTCTTTTAATGAGTAAACGTGTATGGGAACATCTATCAAAACTTGAAGAAGATGGGAAAAAAAAATCACACAAGCAATTAAAATCACATTCTTGAAAACACTATGATGAATGACTTTCATATTACTTGCAGTTTAATGACGCATTAATTTTGAAGCACGGATTGCTGACTCTTAAACACTCATTAAATCATTTTATTGTAAACATGCTGACTGAACTGGTAAGCACTCGAATACACGGGTTCTCAACACACATATTTAATCGCAGATGATGATACCACATTCCCCCCCCCCCCCCAATTTTAAATACTGGACAACGCGAACGCTGTTTTATTATAGATGGGGAAGAAAATAAAATCAGTAGACACTGCAAAGTTCACTTAATCCTGGGTCGACTAAAAGAAATATAATTTTTAAGAGAAGAACGAGATATTTCAAGCATGGCTATTAAAATGATTCATTATTTCTTCACAAAGCATTTCTTTTGTTATACATGAATATTCTTGTTAAATCACAGATAAACCGTTGCTATAAGCGCACCCCTTTTTAAAAACTGGTTTAATAGATTATTCTAAAATATACTATGGCTATCTGCCTAAGGAGAGAGATGCCTTCGTGGAGGACTTTATAAGAGCAACTGGTTCGTATGCACGTTACAAATGGGGAAAACCACGAAAGCGTCCATGCAGCCAACCCGTTTACTGAAATCGAACCCAAGTCAGAACTACCAGAGTTCAGCAATTTTACCGCTCGGCCGCTGATGAGTCCCTGTTTTTAAAGAACTTTTACATTAAGATGTTGCGGGAAGAAAAGCAGCGACGGTAATCTTGCTTGAGAGAGAAGCGGTGAGTGAATGCTACGTGTTCAAAATGAAATCCGAGTTCAGAATAATTTCGTTTTTGGTTTAGCTTTATTTTGATCAGTTAATAACAAATTTCGGTTCCCAAACATGAAATCATTACTGGTTGAAACCTTTGTAAGCATCTGCATCATGAGTGCTATGCAAGGATTATGTGACATAGATTAATTTTGAAATGGTGAGTTTCAAGGCAATTTATTATAAGCAGTTATTATTTTTAGGAGAAAAAGGGGAATATAGTTAAAAGAGTTAAGAAACTATTGCAAATTAAAGTTAAGAATTTGATTTACATTCTTTTCATCTTACTTACATATATTCAAGAGTTTGGGAGAAAACAGTGGCCGAAAGCTAAAAACTTTCGATGGTTTCTCCTCAGCTATTTATTGAAATTGTCATTAAAACACCAGTTTTTAACTTGAATTATGAAAATTTGGTAACATGGTTTAGCTACTATCTCTTGCAAAATACTATTAATTTTTTTCCCTTGCAAATTTTAATCTGCTTGATTTGATTACTGTTTTACATTAAAAGCTGAATGTTAGAATTTTAAAAAATATTTTGTTTTAACGAATTGTGAAGCATAATTTAATTTTTACGGATGTATTTGGGAGATGTTTTCATTCCATCATGAGCATAAATCTTTCTTTTTACTGATTGCTTTGAGTCCGAGTGAGGCTATTATATCACAAATTACACTATAATTTTGTACAAAAGTGTTGAACTTTTCATAAATATATTATGGCTTGAGATATTATATTTTATTTATTTATTTCAATTATGCTTTTTCTGTAAGCTATAAAAGAAGTATGACAAATATTCTCAACTCTTTCTAGGAAACTGGAAGCATACGTCCGGGTGTAATCGGTGGCAGCAGGCCGAAAGCAGCTGGGGACACAGATCATCGCTCTGATGAATACAAAAAAGAAAATTCGAATATCTTCAGCTGGGAGATGAGAGACAGGTTGGCCAAGGACACTGGCGGATGCGACAGGACAGTGGCTTCTAATGTTGCTCCCATCCGCCTGCTGAGAAGCAGCTCTATTAGTCCAAACAAACTGGAGAAGACAGAAGAAATGGACTCTGGTCAGAAAGGTGTTGGTGGGCACAAACATTCTATAGATGGAATACTTGCAAGGAAGAAAGGATGTAAGTTTGCAATTTTCTTACAATGGTATGAAATATACAGAGGATTTCAGTGAGAAAGGGTAGATTTTTACTTGCTTTTTTTTTTTGTTGCAATATAAAATGTGTCAATTATCAGCTAAATAAAAAAAGGTTACGTTTCCTTGCTCAATTTTAGTCAGTGCTTTATCTACGGTAGCTGTTTCCTACATCTAGGTGGGTAAAAGCGCATAAAATGACCACGTGCCCCGTTCTTGGATTCCAAGGTTTTCAGATCCTTATGACTTTTTACGCTGGGAATTTCAAAGAAATCGAATACGTACGAATCCAGTTATATAACTAGAACTTCGGCAAAGATTTGTTAGAGCAATGCATTTCATTGTCATAAAACTGTTAAAGTGTGGCATGAAACTGATTATCAGTTTGATATATGTTAATTTACGAAGTATGTACAGAAAGCAGCAGATTTTCTCCTTTACGTATCAGGTGATGCATGAAATAATTTTTTTTGCATTTTAAAGTTATATAAGCAACTAAAATTTGCTCCTTCATTTTGAAACGCAGTTAAAAGTTGTTTTCAATACATTGGTTTCTACCACACAAATTGAAAGATATCACTCGGATACCACATTGATAAATGCCACTCGGATAAATGTCATTTCATAAAAATTTCAAAGAAACTGATTTATTACTAAAAATAAAATATATTCACTCACAAAGAAAGGAAAGGAAAAAAAGGAAGGGAAAGAAGCTTTTGGACTTCAAGGCATAAAGTTATCGATCGATGATTTTCGGATTATCTAGAAAGTAACTATTTAATTACTCTTTTCCCAAGTAACCGCATGACTTCATAATAGTTACTGTGAAACCAACAGTATCTTATATCATTTCTTCTACCATTTTTTTTACTCTCCTTACCCCCAAAATTAATTCCTTTTTATGGACATTCTTACTAAGTATAAGTATTACTCTATTTCACACGTGATCCCGATGTTGAATTCATATTAATATGATAAAGCAATTTAAATTTTGTCAGAATCAGACACATGAGCGGTTTCAATATGTCTTACTTCATAATTTAAATTTTTGTTCACAAAACACATGCACAGAAAACAGTATATATTTATTCAGTCAATCAAGAATACAAACATTTCCTGAAGGTTCTACCGCGATTATCATTGTAGCCTTTCAGTTAAATAACCAGTTGTGTATCTTTTAACAAATTGTTATCAAGTATAGAAAATAAGAGTAAGATTTTGAACTTTTAATGACAGCATGATAATATTCCCCGATTATAGTTAGGAAATGATATTCGGAAAAAATATTCGTTGATTCCGACAGTGCATTTTTTATAGCATTTATCTACAAACAACTGGGAGATCTCCAGTTAATCCCTTTATTAAAGTCAATTTTCAGAACTAATCTAAAAGCATGGCATAAAACAGTCAGATCGAAAACTCATAGATGTTGCGCATGGATCTGGATATATTCCAGCCAAAACTGAAAACGGAAGTATATCCATCCAGTCTATTGCTCTTAGAAATGTATTAAAATTTTTAAGGCCTATCTATAAGAATTTCAGAGCCATTCTTTCTTCAAGAACTTCTGGGACCAAGCAATAAGTTTTGAATCATCTGCTTCTGAATGTTGTGTACGTACATTATTGTTAATCAGGATGCGCTGAGGCTATTTCTGGTATTTATTGAGGCCAGTGAAGATTGAAGTTTAGTGACACACGAATCAATAACGTTCTTGAGGCAGAAAATAAAACTTAGCGATTCTTATGTATTTTTAGTTGCTGATTTCAATTATGAAGTCAGAATATCTTCATCGAGATCCACTTCTTCGCCACAAAAATTTTCATTGATGCATCAGATCACTGATGTATCAGAGGTCAGTTTGGATGTCAGTACTTCTAGAACAGTTTGGCTACCATACCATTAGGTGTCTAGAATAAAGATAAGAAAAATCACTTGTACTCCCGCCAGGAATCCAACCATAGATCTTCCAGTGCTCGCTGGATACGCTAAGCACTTACACCACAAGAGAGAGAAAGGTATAATTCATGATATTTACTTCCAAGGAGCGAGTGAGGAAACACACAAGGCCCAATGGACTAACTCCAAATCGGGAAGAATGTGGTCCACTATATTTTGTTCGGATAACTCTGTAGAGATCAGCAGAAATTTCAGACCAGGAAACATGGACAATCAAGTGTGCCTTCGCCAGAATTCGAACAAACCCTCCAGTTTGTTAGATGGACATGCTAACCATTTACATCATGATAGCAGGCCCATGAGAGTGAGATTATTTCTTATACAACGATAACACACTTTCTCCAATCAGGCTGGGATTACTCGCATGAAAATTTACCTTACCAAAAGGCACAAAACTGTGAAGATTTCGTCAGAAGCAACAATTTTAAAATAAATATTTTCTCAAAGGATGACTTGAATATGAGAACAAAGTACACTTGCGGGTTAAAGTTTTAGGGCATAAACATAATGCTGACATGTGGAAGCTGTTTGTAGACTTAAACAAGCTTAAATTTCTGCCTTTTTAATATAAAAGACTGTTAGTTCAACTGGTTCCGTTATTTACATTAGGTTATACTGCGCATATGCAAATATCATGTGAAAATGTAAAACATCCCATCTGCAATATAAATTACGCGAAAATGAGATGCCAGGGTAAAGATAAATATTACATTAAAAACTTTGGCATTAAAAGAAGACAGAAAGCCAAGGGACTTAAATACATAATTTCTGAATTCTTAGTACATTGCAATATTTGCTATCTATTCACATCAAACTATGCTAAGAACCTTCCGGTGGCAGAGGATAGAAAAGAATTTCGTTTTCTAAAAACAAACCTTACCAAAATAAGTGAAGCCGAAATTAAAAAGAATGTCTTTTGTTGATCCTTAGATCAGGGAAAACTAGTGAGTGACCTTGAAATAGAAAGTGCATTTAATGAAGAGTGAAAGTATTTCTTACAGGCATCTTTCCATAATAGAAGAAAGAGAGGTAAAATTTCTTCAAGAATATATTCTTTTGCCGCAAAACTGCTAAAAGAAAAATGCTTTGAACTCTTAACAAGTTAGGAAGTAATTACAATACTGAAAGACTCAAAAAAAAAAAAAAAAAAAAAAAAATGTTCTTTTAGTTCCGTAAAATTCGCCCAACTGTATAAAAGTGGTTGCGATAATACGTGCGTATAAATAAATAAAATCCCGATTATTAGATATTATTTCGCTATTAGAAATAAAATCACACTTCACTTATATTTTTACATCTAGAATACTGTGCCACTTTTCTAAGCAGTTTTAATTCATAAAAAGATGTTTCTAACGCCATATATTACGTACCATGGTACAGAGTAATGTTTGAAATAACTAACTATAAATTCTTAACAGTACAATTTTTCTGAAACATACTAAAGAGAGAAAGAGAAATATATATATATATATATATATATATTAAAAAAGGGAATTTTCTTGAGTCCATTTAAGTATTTTTAATGATAACTGAATGAAAATTAGGTGATATAAGTATTTTCCCCATATAGCACGTGAATCTGAAATTAGAAGGACACCGGGGGAAAAGAAAAGGTAATGAGGAAGGAAAAAATTGGTCGAAACATTTTCTGGGCGAAAAGGCATTTAAATCGCCTATCATATAAATGACATATGGGTCTCTATCTGAAGAAAGGCAGACACTGTTTTTAAAGTTGCAGTTTTGAACACGTCGTGTTCTTTATTTGCAGTTATGTTTCTCGTTTATTTATACACGTGTCTGTCTAAATTAATTGACTAATGCTTTATCTGGTTAATGTCATATGATAACACTATTATCAGTTTCCACTTCAGTAAAAACTTTCAGAAAATAATCAGGAATTCCTTTATTAATAATAAAAAGAGAAATATGTAAGCAGAATGGGCTTAATATGGCCAATGGTCTATAAATAAATCAGCATAAAAAACCACACAGTTAAAAATTTCATTTTAATATTAATGAGAATGAACGTAAAATACGAAAGTAGAAATATATATATGATTATTTGAGTTTGGAATATTAACTTCATATATCATTTGCGAAAATTAGTAAATTTATATTTACTTTTTTGTGAAGTAAGTTTGTAAGTTTTTAAACTTGATTATTTTTTTTTTTCATAGTATTTTGTAGTTATATTTATAATTCATTCACCTCAGAAAGATTTTACATTTAAGCGGCTTATATGTATGCCTATCTCTCTAAAATTGTTTTTAATTAATTAATTTTAATTTATTGATTGAAAATAATGCGTAATATAATCAGTAAAAAGTTAAGCCTTAGCTTTCTGCTTAGCAAAATTATGTCGCTAAGAAAAATGCTTTAAGGATAAAAAATAAAAGAATGAAATGAAATTTCAATTTAAGGAACTAGAAAAAAGATAATGCTTGCTCTGTTTTAATTGGATAAAAACTCGAAGTGCTGCCTAGAGGAGATCATTTGATTCGTTGGTACAGAGGACATCTAAACAACTGCAGTCATCGAATCACTACCCAGAAAACATCATAATTACCGTTTCTAAAAACTAATTGCATATGCTCTTGATACCACAAAAAAAAACGAAAACCTACCCCCTTTTTTTTATTTATTCTTTAAAAATGAATAACAAACAAAAGTCATAAACATCTAATACAATTCGATTTAAAAAAATGCCTGCTGTTGTCTGAAAAGAGAATGCTGCAGAAGGAGAGAGTATAAAGGATACTTGAAAACTTGCATCACGCAACAGGCCACACTGGCAGCATGAGAAGGAAAACATTAAAAACACATAAAAAGAAACTTCCATTGGCAATTGTGGAAGAACAGCCTTAAGGATCGTTTTTCGTATTTAACTCTCTCCGTCTGCACAAAGAAACCTCTAATAACCCCATGTAGTACCAATGTACCCACTTAATTCGGATGCAAAGCTTAGTTCGTGACGTACTGACGTAACGCAGTTGTACCGGTGTAAAGGGGGCAGGGTTTGACTTAAAT